CCCACATGTCGCAACTAAGACCCAACACAGCCAAATAAAATTAAAAAAAGAAGAAAGATCCACTTCCTAGGGCTTAGGGATAGGATTACCTTCCCTGATCATGTGTCCTCAGAGGAAGGCAAACACCAAAAGGAAATCTGGGCTAGATTGAGTGTGGGAGAAAGGGGAGATTTGGATAGGTAGCCAGTATAGTGTCTACCGTCCCCTTTCTCTGCTGCTTCCTTTTTCCTCAGAGTACAAGTTACTTTGGAGACTTCCCTGGTGGTGCAGTGGTTAAGAATCTGCCAGTGCAGGGGACACGGGTTCAATCCCTAGTCTGGGAAGCTCCTACATGCTGCAGAGCAACTAAGCCCGTGTGCCACAACTACTGAGCCTGCACTCTAGAGGCCACGAGCCACAACTACTGAGCCCGCGTGCCACAACTACTGAAGCCCGCGCATCTAGAGCCCGTGCTCCGCAACAAGAGAAGCCACTGCAATGAGACGCCCGCGCACCACAACAAAGAGTAGCCCCCACTCACCACAACTAGATAAAGCCCGTGCGGAGCAACGAAGACCCAACGCAGCCAAAAAAATAATTAATTAATTAATTTTTAAAAAAGGAATTGCTTTGTTTTACACACCTCTTTAAGAGGCCAGTAGTCGCAGTGGAAATGACTGTCAAAATTGTTGAAAGTGTTTGCATTAATAACTGTTTTATGGACATCTTAAACAATCTAAAGTTCAAGTTTTCCTGTTTCCCAGTGAACAAAGGAAACCATGTGGCTCCCTACAACTTAAGTTGGAATGCGTGACCATATTCCACAGGTGGCTATTATGAAAGACCGTTTTTTGGTTTAGTTGGGTTTTTTCATTAGTGCTTTGACTGAGTAACAGTGCTTGGACACCGTGAAGTTAGTCCAGGTGTCCAGATGGTTGAGCCTTTTCTGCCTTATATGTAAAGAGGAGCTGCAAAGTTATCATTCTGATTGACAAATATACCTATTTGGTAATTGAGGCCCATCCTGGAAAAAGAAACAACCAGCTGCTTTATATTTGTCCCTATCACCACCTTTTTTTTTTCCAGGTTTATTGAAATATAATTGATATACAGCTCTGTATAAGTTTAAGGTGTACTGCTTAATGACTTAACATACATGTACTATGAAATGATTACCACAATAAGTTTAGTTAGCGTCCATTTCCTCATAGGTTTCCTTCTGGGGTGATGAAAATGTACTGGGACTAGATAGAGGTGATGGTTACACAACACTGTGAATGTACTAAATGCACTGAATTGTTCACTTTAAAATGGTTAACTTTATGTTGTATGAATTTTTAAAATTCAATTAAAGAAAATTTCAGGACAAAAAAAATTTTATTTTCTTATGAGAGCTTTTAGGATGTACTCTCTTATTAACTTTTAAATATACCATACAGTTAACAATAGTCATCAGGTTGTACATTACCTCTCCAGTACTTATTTATCTTATAACCAGAAGTTTGTACCTTTTGACCACCTTTATCCAGTTCCCCCATTCCCCACCTCTCACCTTTTCTTTCTGACAGAGTAATCTGTTTAAAGTTATTTAAGCCTGAAAAAGAGAAATATTGAAGATCTGTCACGTGGTAAAAGAAGTAAACTTAATCTTGTTTGACTCTAAGGCAGATTTAGGATCAAGATTGAAACAGTTCATAGCTTTTTATAGGGAGAAACTATATAACAGTTAAGACTGTTTATGAAATAGTGAGTTGATCCTGTCCCAGGAGTTTTCTAGGAGAAAGAAAGTTCCTCTCAGGAACTTAGACAAAGGGACTCTTCTTTGGGGAGGATGGGGAAGATTGCATGAGGCTGTATCTAAGAACCCTTCCAATTCTGATCTTTATTGATGTTTCCCAGCTAAGAGATATAGAGAAGGCATGTGCTGAGTTTTACTGTATTTCAAACTGAAGAGAATGGAGCCTTGATTTACCCATGGGGGAAAAAAACAAATATATGTGTATATGCAGTTCCCACATACAGCCAATGATCTGTAGCTCTGTAGGGACTTCCCTGGTGGCGCAGTGGTTAAGAATCCGCCTGCCAGTGCAGGGGACACGGGTTCAACCCCTGGTCCAGGAAGATCCCACATGCTGCAGAGCAGCTAAGCCCATGCGCCACAACTACGAGCCTGCGCTCTAGGGCCCACAAGCCACAACTACTGAGCCCACACGCCACAACTGAGCCCATGTGCGGCAACTACTGAAGCCCGCGCACTCTAGGACCCCCGTACCACAACTGCTGAGCCCGCGTGCTGCAACCACTGTAGCCCACACGCCTAGAGCCCGTGCTCCACAACAAGAGAAGCCACTGCAATGAGAAGCCCGTGCACTGCAACGAAGAGTAGCCCCTGCTCGCCACAACTAGAGAAAGTCCACGTGCAGCAACGAAGACCCAACGCAGCCAAAAATAAATTTAAAAATAATAAAATAAAAATAAAAAACGTAAGCTCTGTAGGTTGTAACTTTTTTTATAGAAGCCTCCAGCTCCTGAATCAATTAATTAAAAAATAAAATATCAGCCATTTTCTATTGTAGTCAGTTTCTTCTAGTATTTCTCATCTTTATTTTATTATTTATTTGTTTGTTTGTTTACTTATTTATTTTTGGCTGCGTTGTGTCTTCATTGCTTTGTGCGGGCTTTCTCTAGTTGCAGTGAGCAGGGCTACTCTTCGTTGTGGTGCACAGTGGGCTCTAGGTGCACGGGCTTTAGTAGTTGCAGCATGCAGGCTCAGCAGTTGCGGTATGCGGGTTCCAGAGCACAGGCTCAGTAGTTGTGGCACACGGGCATAGTTGCTCCACGGCATGTGGGATCTTCCCGGACCCCACGGTTCGAACCCATGTCCCCTGCATTGGCAGGCGGATTCTTAACCACTGCGCCACCAGGGAGGTCCCTATTTCTTATCTTTAAATTCAGCTGTATGTGACTTCCCTGGTGGCACAGTGGTTAAGAATCCACCTGCCAATGCAGGGGACACGGGTTCAATCCCTGGTCCGGGAAGATCCCACATGTCGTGGAGCAACTAAGCCCATGTGCCACAACTACTGAGCCTGTGCTCTAGAGCCCGTGAGCCACAACTACTGAGCCTGCATGCCACAACTACTGAAGCCCGCATGCCCTAGGGCCCGCCTCCTGCAACTGCTGAGACCATGTGCTGCAACCGCTGAAGCCCACATGCTCTAGGGCCCTCATGCCACAACTACTGAGCCTGCATGCTGCAGCTGCTGAAGCCTGTGCGTCTAGAGCCTGTGCTCCACAACAAGAGAAGCCACCACAATGAGAAGCCCGCGCACTGCAATGAAGAGTAGTCCCCGCTTGCTGCAACTAGAGAAACGCTGTGCGCAGCAACGGAGACCCAACACAGCCAATCAATCAATCAATCAATCAATAAAAAGAATTTAAATTCAGCTGTATGACTATGATTGTATGAATGACTCTCTAGCCTTTTAAACTAAGCCCCCTGGCAGCTGCTCAGTAGCCACCAAAAGGTGAACAAAGCAATAATCTTTGCAGACTAACTTATGCCAGGATGAGGTTACCCATGCTTCTTAAGAGCCTTCTGGGTCTTATCCTTGAAACTGATTGAAAGGAGGAAAAAGTCTGGCATGACAATTTTCTTGAAGCAATGCTGTTTGTTTAGCTTGGTTTCTAGAGTCATATGGAATAGACAGGACATCTGGGAAGGTTTCCAGTCTTATCTTTTTAAAGAAAGGAAAGAAATATTTAGGATTCAAGTACAGTCAGTAATCCATGAAAGAGAAACCTCTATTATAAACCATTGTTGGAGCTAAGCATTTTTTACTTCAACAGTTGTTGAGGACATGAATCTCTGTATAGAGCATCAATTTCTGTTACTGAGTGGGTGCTTGGATTACTGTGTTGACCTCACTACAGGATTTCCCAGGTAGTGATAGCAAGTGATAAAGAGCTACCACCCCTGCACTACAAATCTCTGCATCTTTGGGAGGCAGTAAAGTGACTGAACCCAAATAGTGAATAGCAAAGCAAAGATTCTCTCTTCCTCCAGGGAGAGACCCAGTCTTTCTGAAGGACAGATGACTACAAAACTCTCTTCTTGCCTTTTCAGCTTCCTTAAGATAAAGGAAAGAATTTAAGATTCTATAAGCATTGTCTGATTTTGCTGCTTTTTGATGGAGGAGATACTTGAAGTTGGTAACAGTGTTGTGGTTTGTGGCAGCTGTGGAAGTTCTCCCTGGGAAAGGAGAGTGATCCTCTCTGGTACTGAATAGAGCTTTATATCTTCTTTCTGGAGAGAGTCTAGTGAGTTAACTCTGTGGAGTGCTCAAGCTGAAGATGTGAGCAGATTTCTGTAGGGAACAAGGGAGGGCAAATAAAGTGCCAAGGGGACTTTAAACTACATTGCTTTAGAACTGAATCCTGGTGAATCTCAAGATAATTATGCTGAGTAAAAGAATCCATATACTGTATGATGTAAAATTCTAGAAAATGGAGACTAATCTGTAGCGACAGTGGTTGGCTGGGGGTGGTGGCAAAGGGGAGGAAGGGCTTTTAAAGGAGCAGGAGGAAACTTTTGGAGGTCATGAATGTGCTCACGATCTTGATTGTGATGATGTTTCACAGGTGTATGTGTGTTTCATAATTCATCAAATTGTATTTTTTTTTTTTTGGCTGCGCCACGTGGCTTGCAGGATCTTAGTTCCCTGACCAGGAATTGAACCTGGGCCCTTCGCAATGAAAGCGCCAAGGGAGTCCTAACAACTGGACTGCCAGAGAATTCCTAGTGCATTTTAAATATATGCAGTTTCTGTCAATTTTACCTCAGTAAAGCTTTTTTTTTCTTTAAAGTAATGAAATTAATCTAGGGGTAACATTTATCAAAGGACCCTATACTGGGTTACAGGAAGGCTATTTCAGGCTTCTGTATGAAATACAAGTCTTACAGGTGTGTTAAGTTTAGATACACAGCTCCTGTTTAATGCATTTCATGTTTCTTTAGGAGTCCATAGAGGCTGCTGTATTCTATTGAAGAAGATGTCTAACAGTAACACTACTCAAGAGACTCTGGAAATAATGAAAGAATCGGAAAAAAAACTGGTGGAAGAATCTGTAAACAAAAACAAGTTTATATCTAAGACTCCAAGCAAGGAAGAAATTGAGAAAGAGAGTGAAGATACCAGTTTGCGTCAGGAGACACAGGTAAGGATTAGAAGTGCATCATATGCGCACTCTTTATAGCAAAATAGAAACATCATTAGAGGTGGCTTTGGAAATCTATAGGAAGCCAGTCACTTACACAAACGTTTGATTCTCCCTAAAAACCCAACTTCAGCTCTCAAGAAATATCTCCTTCCCTTTTTGTCAGAGTCCACAATGAAGTCTAAAGAAAACAGAATGAAATCCCTAATCTCTTAGGACCTGAATAACACTGGTTCTTGCTACATTTTGATATTTTTCAACTATCAAAAAACAAACTGTATACAAACACATATTTGACAAGTCATAATATGGCTTATACAATAAACCATATTTTTAATTAAATTTTTTTTTTTTTTTTGGCTGCATTGGGTCTTCATTGCTGCGCATGGGCATCCTCTAGTTGCAGCGAGCAGGGGCTACTCTTCGTTGTGGTGTGCGGACTTCTCATTGCGGTGGCTTCTCTTGTGGAGCATGGTCTCTAGGCGCACAGGCTTCAGTAGTGGTGGCACATGGGCTTCGTTGCTCCCACGGCCTGTGGGATCTTCCCGGACCAGGGCTCGAACCCTTGTTCCCTGCATTGGCAGGTGGATTCTTAACCATTGTGCCACCAGGGAAGTCCCTACAATAAACTCTTAAAACTAGAGCTGCCTGGCTTTACACAGTTTTAAATTCATATCCTGGTTGTGTTAAAGCAGTCAGCATTTTCTGGTCCGAAATAGCCTCTGAACTTGCCACTTGGTAAATGTGAGAGAGAGGAATTTTATTCTTTGGTTGCCTATTGTTTTCCATCCGAATTCATACTACAGTGCAGATATGATGGCAGTAGATGGCCAGCCGAGCTTTTTCCAGGACTCCTCTTTGGTACCCACCCAGACTCTGGGCCTCCTCTAGCTTACCTGTTCCAGTTCTCTTCCCTGTGGTCACTACTAGTTTCCTCTGTTACCCAAGCCCAAATTATATAAATCCTTTCCTTCTTGCCCAGGGGTGAGACTGGTCTTTATTATATGCCTAGGAGATAGACTGTTAATTGTAGTAAGTTAGTTTAAAGAGCAGTAGCAATAACATTTTGGAGGGTCTAGAAACTTGAAGCAGGATTTCTCTTGACAACCCAATTCACCTAGGCCTTGTCTTACATAAAGATTAAGACAGCAACAACATAAAGGGATGAATTAAAATTAGATAACTCTCTGAAGTATTTTGTTCTCTAGCTGCCTGCTTTTCTACTATTTTTGCTCTTACAGTTTGCCAGATCTCTGTCATGGCTGCTTTTCTTTCTGTTATCTTTTGCATGTGAATTGTCATTCCCAGCCCATCCTTCCAGAGTTCATGGAGACAGTCCGCCACTGTTCCAGCTATACTTCTAGCTTCCACTGATCCCAATAATGAATTTTAAATCCTCAGGACAAATAAGTGTTGAATGTTTAATTATGTGCTGTCATGTTACATGGAAGATAATAATTAAATGAACTTTTTGGTCCAAGTTACTCTATTCTCAGGAGACAATTTTAAGTGGTGTTCTGAACTCCTGTTTTGTGTTCTTCTTGAAGATAGGCAGAAAAGAAAGGGTGACTATAGGTTTTATATGCCTTATGGATACTCACTTGGTTTAAGAACGTCTTCACCTGGATATACAGATAGATTGTGTGGGAGGCTGGGTGGGGAACCTGCCTCCCCTCAGACTCCTTTTGTTGCTGCTGGAGCAGGTGGAGTTGCTGCTGCCATCTACTGGAACTCCTGCTCCTTTTACAAAGTCTTGGCCACCCTTCAGAAGCCCTCTCCCCTCTACCAGTGTTCCCCTTCAACAGCACTAAAAATTCTGCTCTTTCTCTTACCTTCCCCCCAACTCACACCTGGTAAGTCTCCACAAAAATCTTACTGACTGTCAAGAGAGTGCATGTTACGAATTGGAGCTGGAAAGTTTGAGGAAAGGGGAGTTTCATTACTCATACTGTGTGAGACATATTCTTGGAATCAGCAATTGGAACTCAGAACATCTTTGGCATGGAAACAGTGCTATAAAGAGCAGGTTCTGAGATTGAGTTTAGAATGGGCAAGTCCTGACAACACATACTGAACTTAGGTGGGTCCTTTAAATAACCTAGCCAGGCTTTCTGCCGTTATACTTTTAATCCCCTCTGATTCAGCTACCATACTGCTTTAGAAAGATGGCTGTGAAATAAAGATCTGATTGTGTTAATTCTCTCCAGAGTTTCTGTGTCTCCTTGCCCTAGGCTAAGTCCCAGATTTGTCAGCATGGCATATTGTGACCTAGCCCTTGCCTGCCATCCATCCACCTCTGGAATCCTATGCTCCAGCATTAACTGATTCACTGGCCCCTGAAAAGTTTGGAGAAAGCATGCTTTTACACATGTTTTCTCTGCCTAGAATGCCCTCCTTGGTATTCTTTCCCTGGCCTCCTCCAGGTCAGTTTAGGCTCATCATTTGTATCTCCAGGGCCCAACACAGTTCCTTGCAGGCACTCAATATTTGTGAACGTGTGAATTTGTGAATTCCTAGGTTTGAGTTAGACACTTGTGCTCCTCTAGCACTCCATGAGTACCTCTGTAATGCACTTAATGTCCTGTATTGTAATTGTCTATTTGTCTGTCTTCTCCAACAGGATTATGAGTTCCTTTTTGACAAGGTTTGTGTCTTTTATCTCTGTATCCTCCAGTAGTTAGCATGGTGCCTGATACATATTAGGCTTTCAGTATGTGTTTGACTATTTAATGAAAATTATACATTCTGAGAAATAAGCAGATTTATACATTGTTTATAGGGTTATAAATTGGTATAAATTCTTTGAAGGACAATTTAGCAATACTTTATAAAATTTTTAAATGGACTATACCACATTTGTAGATATACTCAGTGATATGGTCATTGAAGCATTGTTTATACTAACAAAGATCAGAAATATCCTAAATGGTGCAGTTTAAGGGACTGGTAAAATAAGTTATGGTATGGCCATACAATGGAATACCATGTAGCCATTAAGAAAAACAGTGTCTCTTCTATGGAGGTATCCTTGAAAAAAGTTTAAAAGTAAGGCTTAGGACAGTGTGTACAATATCTGTCTATTTGGTTTAAAAAAAAGTGTGTGTACACATGTACAATAATCTTATAGATGCATAAAAGATCTCTTGTAAAAGATTACAAGAAATTCAGTACTAGTTGATCCTTTAGGAGGGATCCAGGTAGCTGGGGGACAGATGTGAAAGGAGACTTACTATTCTGCATACCTTCATTATAACTCTTGAATGTTTGTGTCGTGTGTATGTTATAACTTATTTGAAAAAAATAGTGACAAATACTGCTTCATATTCCTGGACTATGATTCTTCCTTTATTATAACAGATCTTGCCACTGACCAGATTCACCATCATTTCTCACTTTTTCCATCCACCTTTCCGGTTCTCCATTTTGCATTGTAGCAGTGTTGTTTGGTAACTAGTGAAGAGGACAAAGGAAAGAAATCCTCACCTACCCAGGACCATGCTGGTACTCTGCCTCCATCTGTTTCCCCTCCTCCACCCACCAGCCTCAGTTTTTTCCACACCTCAGTGGCAGTGAGTTCCATTCCAAACATCTTAGAAGCCCTAAGTGTCACCCAGCCTCTTCCCAAAAGTCCTCATTTTGACTTCTCAGCTATTCGAAACCTTACCAATTAATTAGTCATTCTTTCCCTCATCCCACCTCAGGCCCTCATTCTTCATCTTCCTCAGCTTCTATCCTGCTCTTTACTCGCTCTCCTTACCTCCCTTTGCTCTGGAGGTCTTATCCACATCTTCCATGCTCCCTTCTTTTTATCCTGTCCCATCTTATATCCATGACCCAGACAGGCTATAAGAGCCTGCACCAGGAGCTTAGAACTGGGAGAATTCTCATATTCAGGGAGGTAGGCAATTGGCAAGAAGAGCCTTCATTCCATTTCTGCAGCCACAGGGACAGGTCTTTTGAGTATCTCAAGTTAGAACTCTCAATGTGTTGTCCTATAAAGGTGTTATTTTAAGTGATGGTTAGGAGCCATATTTCACACCCACTATGGGCTAAATAGGCTCCTGTTAGCAAGCTTGGGAAAAAAACACTCTATTGTGATATAGTAGTGACATTTCCAGAAGCATCCTAATCAGGAGAGGATTCCCTGGTTTATCCAAAAGTAATTTTTATCAATCTGTGAAATAGGCCACCCAGTCAATGTCTTTCTATTCTTTATCTTCATGGTGAGTGGTGATCTGTCTGTAGGTGGCCTGTGGTCCCTTCCATGTCACAGTTGCTAGAGTTGTAGCATAGGGGACAACCACAGCAACTGGGTCTCATCATACTTTGGCTATTATAATGGTTTTAAAGTTAGTGCTTTTTCTCTGTAAACTTGTATTGCTTTTAACTTAAGTGTTTATTTCCCCCACCTTTAATATTTTCTAATCCCCTTCTAACAGAGGCGGACATCTAACCACGGTCATGCCAGGAAAAGAGCCAAGGTGAGAGCCCTTCCTCTATAGCTTCTTTTCTAGTGTTATTAGTAGAACATTGCACAAATGGACTTATCACTAATAACCAGTTTATTTGGATTATATATAGGCAAAGTTTGCCTGTTCCTTGTACCCTGATTGTGAACATGCATACACACATGCACAAACATGCACGCACATATACATATGTCCTATTGGAATGTCTGGCTTTATTTTTCTCCATTATCTTTAGTTCAGTCACAGTCTATTTCTGATACCTGAAAGGATACCCAGCCAGAGCCTCCCACAAACAAAGCCTGAGCACACTGGTACTGGTTCTGCTGTAATGCCAGTTTCTCTGTTCATCTCTGGCTCTCTTATTTTGCCTCCCAGCAGTTTTGGGGTTTTTCGCTATGTGAATTTTCTTTAAGATAAATCCTCTACCATTAGTAAAATGATTCACCATTTTTGGACATCCTAAAAATATAGGCTTTGTTTTGTTTCGTTTTGTTTTGTTTTGATTCACTTTTTAGGTTGGGGCAAAGAGGAGGATTTTGTTTTTAATCATTGTATGATAAAATTAGCACATCACAGATTATTTTAAGCAGTGTTATCAGGTAGGACTATAGGTGTTAGTGTGTGATAGCTTTTTAATTTTAATTAGGGAACAGTAAAATATTAAACTTTTCTTACATTGGGAAGAATTGTCCATCGAAGTAATAATTAAGGGTGTCCACCCCTTTCCCCTTGAAAAATAATGGCAGAATTTGGGAGTGTCCCAGCCAGTATGTGGCTTGGGTTTGAAGAAGACTATGATGTATGATAAATTGGCTCTGTGGCTTGCCTTACGTGGCCTAATCCACAGTGATGGGCTTGACAGTAAAGTTTAAAACAGAGGGTGTTCAGGATTTCCATGACGGTCCAGTGGTTAAGACTCCACTCTTCCAATGCAGGGGGTGCAGGTTCGATTCCTGGTCAGAGAACTAGGATCCCGCATGCTGCGGGGCACGGCCAAAAAGAAAAAAAACAGAGGGTGTTCTCAGCTACTTCACTTCCCCCCAGACCTTAGAAATAAGTAAGACAGTTATTATCGTTATTATTTCCATTTTACAGAGGAGGAAGCTTGGGCTTATAGAGTTTGAGTGAGTTTGACAGAGGACATTTATTAGTAAGCGGCAAAACTAGGCTTGAAGTCAGTTCTTCAGACTTGCAAATTCTTTTCACTATACTGTGCTGTCTGGACCACACATACCATGTTTTGTGCTTTTTTTTTTTTTTTTTTTTTTTTCAATACGTGGGCCTCTCATTGTCGTGGCCTCTCCCCTTGCCGGATGCGCAAGTTCAGCGGCCATGGCTCCACGGCATGTGGGATCCTCCCGGACCAGGGCACGAACCCGTATCCCCTGCATCGGCAGGCGGACTCTCACCACTGCGCCACCAGGGAGGCCCCTGTGCTTTTGTATTTACTGTAAACTTTGATTTTATTGTAAGAACTCTCAATAAGTGTTTATAGGTAGATTTCTAATGAGTCACTATAATTTTTGACTTTGGAGATACCTAGGAGAGCAGTGATTTATAAAGTGGAATTCAGATCTTTTTGGGATTCTCCAGCCAGCATAAGTAAACCAAGTGGATTAGTTGTCACATTGAATCCCAAATGTTAGAAAGTTTTCTTTCTTTCTACTTTTTTCTTAGACACTTCTTTCCATACCCTTGCCACCTCAGGTTTAGAGTCACTTAGCATTTATCATCTACTTTATACTAGGCACTATTTATGATACTTATGTTTACATGCTTTATATAATCTAATTCTCACACCAACCTGTTAAGCATTTTTATCCCGTTTTTATTGAGGACCAAAAAGAGACCCAGAGAGGTCAAGTAATTTGCTCAATATCTCATATCTCAAACCAGGAGTTGAAGCTAGGACTTCTGGTTCTTAAATCCAGTCTTTCTACTAAGCTCTGCTGCTGTGTATTCTCAGTAAACTTCTGAGTGTGATATTGGAGCACTGAGCTAGAGAGAGAGGAGAGCTAAGCAAAGTGGTTTTCCTGTCATCTGTCCAAAGTAGTTGTTTTGTTTTTATATATCTACTGTTGTGAGCAAGAGAATTATCTTTCAAGTGAATCAGGAATGAATGAGTAGGACCTGTTTGAAGGAAAAAAAAACCAAAAAACCCTGTTTATGGAGGAAGCAACTAACAGAGCAAAAGAGAATGCCCTTTATTCAGCCAAAAGCTTTCCCAGTGTCCACTAAGGGAATATGTATGTGTATTTATTTTTTTCAGTCAAATTCCAAGCTGAAGTTGGTGCGCAGCCTTGCAGTGTGTGAGGAGTCCTCTTCCCCGTTTGCTGACGGGCCACTAGAAACCCAGGTAGGTCCTTTATAAGAGTAAGCGTAGCTTTGAGTTTGGCAGTTGTTTGCTAAACTGCTGTAGCATCCACGGCATCAACATTAGGCTTGGAAATCAGGGTAGAGGAGCTTCAAAACAGGCTGTTGCAGTAAAATAAGGGCATGGGTGAGAGCATGAAGTATAGGTCTTCACACCTGGACCACCCAGGATGATGCAGACCCACACCTTTCCCTCTGGTGGTTAGAACCATTTCCATTCCAATTCTTATGGCAGGAACAGCAAGCATAACTTGAGCTTTCCATACAGTAGGCTGTGATTGTTGACAGAAAAAGCTTAGCCTCTACCCTTTTGGTAGAACAAAAGCTAAAACAATTTAATTAACAAAATATTCTCTTTCGTAAGAGAATGCTGCCACCCTAAGATTTGCCTTCTTTGAGATTTCAAAGGGCTGCAGGAGAGTTGTTTTCCCCTTTGATTATATTTCTCTTTCTCCTTGTCCAAGGATATAATTCAGTTGCACATCAGCTGCCCCTCTGACAAGGAGGAAGAAAAGTCCACAAAGGATGTCTCTGAAAAGGAAGACAAGGACAAAAACAAAGAAAAGGTCCCAAGGAAGATGCTGTCTAGAGGTGAAGACTTTCCCCCTTTCTCATCTGTCCTGGGGCCTGGCTCTGCAGTGCCTTTTCCTTCCATCTTCCCAGTGGCCTTATCAGCCCAACAGTTCCTAGTGCCCTGCTGACTTCATCGTTGTTTGGGGAGGTGCCTAACTAAGTTACTTTCTTTGCTGCTTTATCCAGCCCTGCCTTAAGGGCTGACAGAGAGCTATTCCATTAACTTTGGGCTACCCATAGGGGAGGACACTGTAGTCAATTCTGATTTTATTTTTTCTCTGGAGTAAATAGTGATGGATCATCACTGGTAGCAGATTCTCTAGATAATATTTATATTTTGGTTTGGGGATGCTTGGAGTGATTTTTTTTTTTAAATAATGTAAATTTGCATGTAATTATTAAGCCCTCTTTGGATTTAAATTCTTGGGCTGGTAGCCAAAAGACATGGTCCATAAAAATGATAATTAAGGGAATTCCCTGGCGGTCCAGTGGTTAGGGCTCAACACTTTCACTTCTGGGGACCCAGGTTTGATCCCTGGTCGGGGAACTAGGATCCCACAAGCCGTGCGGTACGGCCCCCGCCCCTCAAATTTTTTTTTTTTTTCTTTTTTGCGGTACTCGGGCCTCTCAGTGTTGTGGCCTCTCCCGTTGTGGAGCACAGGCTCCGGACGCGCAGGCCCAGCGGCCATTGCTCACGGGCCCAGCCGCTCCGCGGCATGTGGGATCTTCCCGGACCGGGGCACAAACCCATGTCCCCTGCATCGGCAGGCGGACTCTCAACCACTGCGCCACCAGGGAAGCCCCCCCAAAAATTATAATGATAATTAAGAGGAAAAAGGCAATCTTAGGATTAAAATTTTATAAATAAATATAAATAATCATATAAATAATCAACATTTGAACATATCTGCTGAGATTCTGGAAAATTCAGCCCTGTCTGTCCTTACCTAGAATTTATTTTCCTTAACTAGAATAAAACCTTTGTTTGGGTCCGGACATTCAATAAATACTTATTGATGGCAAGGTGGCTTTTCTATGTAATACGAATGTAACACTGTGACCCAGATTCCACCTTATATCACTGTCATGGGGAATTTTGAGGGGCTGGCAAATCAAGGTCATTCTGATTTTTAAGCTAAAAATCCTGAAGTCTGATTCTCCTTTCCTGTTCTCATGTCTCCTGATCAGGTTGTGGGCTTCTGCTTGGGGTTAGAGATCATGCAAGGCAGTTTCATTTATTTTTAATTTATTTCACTGTGGTGTTCTAGACTCCAGCCAAGAATATACGGACTCCACTGGAATAGACCTACATGAATTTCTTGTAAATACACTGAAAAAGAACCCAAGGTAATAACATGATTTGATGGAAGGGGGAAAGAGGCTAGGACCAGCAGAATACCCAAGAGGCCAAATAGCTTCTCAGAATTTTTCCATTATTAGAATCCAGGATGCCTAGCCCCAACACACCATTTCTCTCCAGAGTAGCTTTATATTCTGTTGGAGATTCAGAATACCCTCATATTGAGGTTCCTGCTTCCAGAAGAGTTGAGAAAAATTCTTTGGAAGAAGAATGCAGACAAAGAAATATGAAGGCTTGAGAATACAATTAAAAAGCACAGAAAAAAAAATAATTGATTTGTACCAAAGCTAAACCATACTTGTTTAAAAATCCTATAAATAACCAGATGGAGTATAGAACAATGATTAGATTTATACGTATAAAGTATGTGTTTATAGGAATATGACTGGCAACAGAATTAGGTTTCTGACAAGGAAAATAAAGTACATTATTAGGAGGCGTGATTGTTTTTCTTTTTTAAAGTAACATAAGACAGGGCAGTGAGGCTCAGCAGCCTTTGCATTTTTGATCCACTCTCGGGGTTTGGATCTATCCCTCCCTTCAGCTTGTATAGTGAGCAGGCTGTGTTTTCAATCCTTGCTTTCAATGTCTATGGGAGGGCTGCCTTTTGTTTTGTTTTGTTTTAATCTTTTTTAAACAGGGACAGAATGATGCTGCTAAAATTAGAACAGGAGATTCTGGACTTTATTAATGACAACAAGTAAGTTACTTGAATGAAATACACATTAGAGGTGGGAGGGGTACTGGAAAGAAATTCAGGTAAAATTTTAGGATATCCCTCTTTCATCGTTCCCTTAAAGTCTGAATTTGGAAGTAATAACTCACTGGGAACCAAAAGGAGTTGGGGAGAAGTAATCAGAATGGATCAGAAAGTGTATGTGTGGAAACTAAATGAAGTTTTTAAGTTACTGCTTAGACTTGAGTTGAAAAAAATTTAGCAGCTAGCCCTTATCCCATATTTCACTATTCTTAAGTTTTTCCCTTTTTTCTTTGTAGAATATCATCTAGGTGGGTGAGACCTAGGGTTTATTGCATAAGGAGTAGTCTTAATGAGGATAGTGGGTCAGAGGGATCTACAAAATACTGTAGATAAAGTTGAGAGAACCTTTTTGGTTACCATCAAGTAAATATCTTCCTTATAATAATGTCTCTTTCTCCTAAGAAATTCCCCACTTTCAACATTTGTAAGAAAAATTACAATTGGCTGTTATTGCTGTTACTTGTCCTTATTTCACTTTTTCCCCCTGGGTTTCCCTGCAGCAACCAGTTCAAGAAGTTCCCTCAGATGACCTCGTATCACCGGATGCTATTACATCGGGTAGCTGCCTATTTTGGGATGGACCACAATGTTGACCAAACTGGAAAAGCTGTCATTATCAACAAAACCAGTAACACAAGAATGTAAGGGAGGAAACCACAGATTGGGAAGGATTTCCTGGGATAGCCTCTGGGATGGAAGAGGAAGGTGTAGGATCAAGATTTCTCTTTCTGGAGAGGGGACAGTGGAGGGAGGGTGGGTTATATTATCAATTTCTACTCTTTGTGAGGCCTTGGAAATAGATGCTAGAGGCACTAGTGTTTTGTGAAGACTGGCTCTGGCCTCTCTTCACCTTCAGTGATAGGACAGGTATAATTTTGGAAGAAGATAAGTTATAGATGTATAAAGAACAGTCCCAGAGGATTTCTTTAAAACTTTCATGTGACTTTTTGGATCCCTGACTTCAGAAATCCCCTGGGTGGGAGTTTGTAGAATTTAAGGGAACTATACTAGGAGGTCTGCTTCCTGACAAGAGTCTTTCTTCTCTTCCTTCCACATTTCTCTCCCAATCCCAGCCCTGAACAGAGATTCTCAGAACATATAAAGGATGAGAAGAATACAGAATTTCAGCAGAGATTCATTCTCAAGAGAGATGATGCCAGTATGGACCGAGATGATAACCAGGTGAAGAATGGAAAGGGTTGGGTCTATACAGAGAGATTGCAGTAAGAGAAACTGGGAGGGGAGAAGAATTTTTGTGGGATGGAGAAAACTCGTAATATCTCAGTGTGGAAAAAAGTGTTGAGCTATATACTGAGTTGGCTTTGGCTTAATGTTGAGGACTAACTGCACTTGTTGAGCTAAATGCCACCCTCTTAGCCCCAGAGAGACATGGTGCTGAGGTTTGCTGGGTTTTCTCATTTGGCCTGGAACTCCCTGGTTCTGCCACTGACTTCTAACTCCACTTCATTTTGGGACAAAGCAAGGTCCCCTCCCTGCTTCAGCCTTGATTCAGCTGATGGCTCCCTTCTTTTTTTCTTTAATAGTTCTGGATTTCTTTGGGAACCACCCAAAGCTACTTTATCCCACTTCCACTCTTCCTATCTCAGGGCTAGCCTTGAACTTGCAAAGTGGTTATCTAATTTACCCACTTGTAAAGGTGTTTCTGATCCCTTTCTGCAAACTCCTCATTCTTTTCCCAACTTCTTCCACCAAGGTGAGTGAGTTAATTTGGCTTTTGATGCTGGGAATCTCAGGCAGGTTTTTGATCCACTCCTGTGGGAATAAGAAGTGAAAAGTCTGCCCCATCCCTTCATTTATGGGCCTGGCTTTTGCCCTGGTTTCTAGCCCATCCTTCAGATAGTGATGTTTGGGGGTTAGTTTTCCTAGCTTCATGGGGTTAAGATCCAGCCTGCTTCTGCTTAGCCTCCAAAGGAGGTTAGGTAGAGAACCAGGATTAAGGTTTAAAGAATATGGTTGGGTAAAGCCAATAATTAGTCTTGCTAATTAATAATAACTATAATAATATCTTACCTCTAGAGTCAAAATTAGTTTTCTTTGGATATTGTATGGTCTTGAGACCAGGACTTTTCCTGCTTGCTACTTGAGTATTTGAGGGAGTCCTTTTGAGAAAAGTGCCATTATCTATCGTGGACAAACATGCTGGGTCAGATTGAAAACAATGAAACATACAAAAAGACAAATAAAATTTAAAAAACAAGAAAGAGCCTTTCCATCCTGATGCCCTTCTCTCCATTTTCCCAAAACCCCTTTTCTGTGGATCAGGAATTATTCAGGCCTAGAGGCATATTGGGGTGGAACGGAATCTCTCCCTATTGTGAACTTTTCATCTCTCAGCTTCAGGCTTGATCCATAATAGGGTAGGCTCTATGCACTGTCTGTCGGTAATATTAATAATAAACACAGTAACTGCTATTTTATTGAGTGTTTTCCCTGAACTAGCCTCTGTTCTAAACACATTATATGCATTATCTCTTTTAATCCTCCACACAACCCAATCCAGATGGGGTTTATTAGCCCCACTTGACATATAAGAAAACTGAGCTAGGAGATGTTAAGTTACTTGCCTTAAGTGACATTACTCAGAGGTAGCAAAGCTTAGATTCTGCCTGACCTCAAAGCCCAATGCTCTTCCTATTCTGCCATTGGTTTACCAGCGCTAGGGGCTAAGGACAGTAAAGCACCTCGAGGTCCTGTGTCTTCTTGGAATGGGATTTGTAAAAGGACATTTAGCAGAATTTAGGTTATTTAGGCTAGTGAGAACTACATCTAGTCAAAAGTTGATACTCCTGAAGTTATGCTTTCCTCTGGAGAGTGGTGAAGTCCAGGAAGATCAGCCTAGAGGAGCGGTCTCCTTGGTTGCTTCATCTGAAACTTTGAAAGCCTCTGGATGGAAGGTCAGAATCTTTTATAACCTGATGACATGCATTTGATGACTTATCTCCCTCAGAGCACCTTGCCTTAAAGAGCAGTATGGAAAAGGACACTCTGTAACATCCTACCCAGGACAGTGCTCACAACTCACAGGCTAAGAGAGGAAAAGACAGTGGTGGAGAGTTGGGTCGTAGGCTAGCCAGAAGTGGTGGTCTGGCCAGCCATCCCCTCTAGTCACCTCACTGCATTTTTCAGAGAATGTAATGTTCTCTGTCCTCCATTTACTTCTTATCCCTTTCTGTCATTCTACCTCTCCCCTTTCTCTGCCATATCTCATTTGTCTGGTCCTTTCTCTGTCCATCCTTCTTTCTGTTCTATTCTCCTCTTCTTTCTCTTTTCTTCTTTGTGTTGCTCTGTTCTCTTTCTTCTCTATTTCTGTAAGCTCTCTCTCTTTCCGCTCTGAGTTTAGCTTCGCCCTTGGGATTTCACTTCCAAGGCCCTCTTTGCTGAGCTGTGTGTGACTTGGGTCTACAGGCCATGGCGTTAGCGACTAAAAAAGGGATAATGTCAGGTGCTAGTTCTGTAAAAACTCTTCTTAATTTAGCTCTGCTAAATACCTGTTTCTTCTCCCTCTCTAGCTTTCTCCAATCCCTTGCTTTCCCTCCAAAGCAATGTTGTTTATTCCCTGGGCCATTCTCTTCATCCTTACTGATTGGAGAGTACCTGATTACACAAGGAAGCAACCCAATCCTTATAAAAAGTTATTGTTCTTGATACTCTGGTTGGTTGGGGGGGTGGGGAGATGGAGAGGCCCCAACCATCCAGAAAACCTGATCTCCCAAACTGCATGGTCAGATGTACCCAGTGAAACCTGTCCAACACTGGAAATTTTATTTATTTATTTATTTTTTTCCATTTTTTTGATGGCAACTATAAACTCTCCCGGTTTCTCTTCCTTGCTGGTGTGCAGTGAGCTTGCAGTACGAGGAGAACTTAACTAGCTTAATTCTGCTCATCGATCTAGATCAGAGTTCCATTGCAGGATGGAAGGAGGAGCAAGTCAATAGAAGAGAGAGAGGAGGAATATCAAAGGGTCCGAGAGAGAATATTTGCCCGAGAGGTAAGTGTAGCTTCTGAGAGTTGTCAGCCCCTAGCTTTTAGCTCTTAATCTTTGGAACTGTGAATGGAATGAAACCTCCATAAATGCTTTGTTGTTTTTTTCTGCTTTTGTTTTTAACCAACATCAGCCAGTCCCATATTTGATCTCTAAAATTAAATGTGGCTTATTAGGAAGCTGCAGATTTTTATTCTTACTATTTTTAATGCATATGGCATATAAGCAGAACAAATGGAGTGGCTGAATTTGGTAGATATGATTAGACTGACAATAGAAATGGTTTTGTCAGGGCTTATGGAAGGGCCCTGAATCTTGCCCGTCAAACCTTCCTGCTTACCCTCGTTCACTTCCGCTGTCCATTTTAGGCATCTTTGCTTCTAAGTGGAAGACTTAGTGTCCACACAGCCTATACATTCATCTTGTTTGGCCAGGCTCATTTTTAGGCTATGTTGGTGATTATCAGAGCACAGATGTGGCATCCATTCTCTGAGCTCCACATTCCACATGCACAGAGGGTACCACTCACTATTCCCTACAGTCTCGACCTGAATAGGAAGTCTCTTCCTTCCTATGTTTCTTACCTTGTTTCTTAGAGTAGGACTGCTCCGTGGGCCAAAAGGCAACATGGATTATTATAGGCAACTTTATTCTTAAGAATTGTGGGCCATATCAGATATACTTGGTACCCCTGTATCTGGTGGCCTTTGCCTACCAGACTGAACAGAAGTATAGGAGAAACTCAGGAAGGTCAAGAGAGAAACAAATCTCCGGAAACTGTATGATCCAGATAGTAGCACTATCTTAGAGTCAAAGTAGCAAACAGAGGAAGAAGTGCCAGCCTCCCTTTGTCATCAAAAGATGGCCAGTTCTAATCAATATACTTAGATAGACACTACTCTGCTCCCATTTCCCCACTCTCCCCACCCTCATCAAGACAAAAATATATATATCTTCTCATCATCACCTAGTTCAGAAAAATATTGTCTCTAACTTCTAGAAAACTGAACTCCTCTGTGAACTTGTTCCATTGTCTCAGGAGACCCAGGTGTTCCAAGGAGCCTCACTGTGGACAGATACACAACAAACCTTCTGGCCCAAAGTCCAAGGAAAAGGAATCTTCTTATCTTATGTTATGTAGTCTTCCATTCTGAGTCAGAAAAATCCATCCTCCAAATTATCCAGCTATAGCCCAAAGACGGTTTTCTAACTTTATCTGCAAATCAGTTGAGTGGAATGAGAGGAGAGAGGTCATTTGTACATGACTACGGCTGGTGATGACCCTAAACTGTGGACAGGGCAGGATGGTGGATGTTAATAGCAAACACTTATATAGTGCTTATTATCTTTCAAACCCTGTTCTTAGCACTTTGTGCACATTAATTTATTTAATCCTCACACTAGGCCTGTGAGATAGGTTACACTATTTTCCTCATTTTATAAATGAGGGACTGAGGCATGGAGAGGTTAAGTAACCTAAGATCACACCACTAGTTAGTGAAAGAGCTGGTATTTGAATTCAGGCAGTCTGGCTCCAGAGTCCACGCTCTTAACCCCTAAAGTAAACCACCTCTTAATAGCTTGCTCTGCTCTGGGCTCTTTAGATTAAGAAGTTCCAGTGACATCATAGCTTGGCTATCTGTGATATGCTCCTCTGCTTCACTGACACATGGAAAATGACTTTCCCACCGTGCCAGCCATTAGCAAAGCCATTCTGAAAGCACAAGCAACTTTTAATAGGGTATTAGTGCTTGTTATGAACAACACTGGAATATGTCTATCTACAACCATAACAAAGTCAAAGTTAGCTCTTCTCTCCTTTTTTCTCTGATATCTAGTCTCTCAAGCCTCTACTAATATATGTATTCTTTGTTAAATCCTTATGGATTTATCACTTTCATTTCAGCACTTCCTAACTCTTGCTGTGGTAGAGGCATCAGGAATCTCAAAAGGTCTAGACAAGGAAAAATGGCCAAAGCCCACTATATGCCAAAGATTCTCATGTGGAGAGGAAAGAACCTGGCCAGTCAAAGGGAACTGCTTAAGGGTGGAGTTGTAGGTTGCAGCAGAGGGGAGGAAGAGGCGGTCCAAATAAAAGGGGAGTGGCAAGAAGGGTGTTTGGATGGAAATGCTGCTGCTGCAGCCTTCTCTGGAGCCTGAGCTGTATATTGGGAAAGCTGCCCCACATAGGCTCTGCTCTGCATGGAGCCCCCTGTGCTCAGCAGCTGAATACTCTTGTTACCTTTTTCTAAGGCTCAGGAGTCCACCATAATGCTCACTTCACTCAGCAGCTCAATGGCTTTGTCAGGAAATGATCCCCAAAAGGAATGTTTCAGGCTTTTAATTTTCTCATTTTTTCTAGGCTCTGAAAAGTACCTGCTTCCCCAATTTCTTACTCTCCTTGGGTCTCAGGTCAGAATGTCTTTCATTTTGGCCAGTGTAGAGGACAGAAGTGGGATAGTCATTGAGGATGATTTCCAAAAAAACTAAATTTCTTTCTCTTGTGTCCCATTTCCCTTCCTTTGAATACACTCTTTAGGACCAAGCACACCAATTATTATGCTCAGCTTACCTCTAGAGAGAATAAATTTAGAGCTAAAAAAGAAATAATAGTTAGGTTAATACTTTCCTTTCTACTTTCCATACTCCTACCTTTATTGACCTCTCTTTTTAAACACTCTGTGGGAAGGCTAAAAATGCCAAATGCTCTTTTCCATTAAAGGTGAGAAGTCAGACTGGGTGTGTGGGTGTGGGTCATCCTGTCTCTGTTCCCTCTCTCCCTGTTGGGGTTGAGCTTGGTTTGAGGACCTTGGGTATTCATAGCATCATGGACACACTTTTTGGTTATGCCATGCTGTTTTCTTATAAGTTATTTTCCGTTTTCTCCCCTTCACCTAGACTGGCCAGAACGGATATCTAAATGACATCAGGTTAGTACCACTTAGCATGTTCCCTGCTTCTCAATGAGCTTTGTCAGTGAGGTTAATATAATCCTGTAATGATGCTTTTCTTTGATGTTAACCAACAGACTCTCCAAAGAAGCCTTTTCTTCTAGCTCTCACAAGAGAAGGCAAATTTTTAGGTACCTTTGTTTGGTCTATATCTCTCCTTGTTTTTTTGTTTTGTTTTGTTTTTTTAATTTTATTTTGTTTTGCGCTAATCTTTTCAGCGGAGTGAGTTTGCTCCATGCATGGCTGCTTGTGGAATAAGTCAATTTGTGGTATTTGCAACATTGGATATTTTTCCCCATTAGAAAAAAAATGGCTATTGCTCAATGACTTTATTTTTATTGTTGCTGATTTCATTGTAAGTCCTGGATAGGTGGTGAAGGGGACCAAATAAGTATGTCTAGGATAGGTACTGCTCTATCCCAGAAGTTTGCTGGAATTGGGCATTTCTGGAGGATTTCAACATACATATATATATATATATATTGAGGTAAAAGAACGGGTGTCTTCTGGCTACCTTTTCCGAATCTATGGAAAGATGTGAAGAGTTTATCCCTGACCCGGCATAGGGAATGTTTTGTATCCTTAAGAAAGAATAATACACACATCCATATAAAAAAACATACAAACACCTCTGTCTATGTAGTTTTCACTTTGGGACAATGTAATGCGTAAGATGATCTCAGAAAGAACTTGTCTGCCTTAGAATAGACTTAGAGCATGTCTTTTATATGATTGTCCATGGTTTATTCTTAATGTTGGTGAAGGCTGCTGTACTAACCTCTCCAGTGCCTCATATTCTCCATTTTCCACAAAGCAGTCATGAGAATCACCCTTTCCTCTCAGTTTCTCAGTCCCACGCCAGACAATTACACAAGGCAGTGGTGAGAGAAGCATTTTAGGACCGCATCCTGGCACTAACTCATTTTAAGTATATTCTTTCCATGTTACCAATAGAAAAACTATAGAGTACAGAAAACCTGAGTATTTAATACTAGGATTCAGGTCTCACCCTTTTCAAAGGGTTTATCTCTTTTTCAATCCTAAGCTTGGTAGGAGCTGACTAACACATATTAGTTAGAGCTCTCATTCCCAGTACTTTAGTAGTCCTTTCCCTGTTGTCCTTTCTAAAGCTAATTAAATCATGTGGAAATTGGGATAGCAAGATTTCCCCTTCTTGGGATGGAGGATTTATCTCCCTTTCCACATCTCTGAACTCTTTTTCCTGGAGCAGGCCGCCCTGAGGTCCATCTGAAAGCCCAGGCAGAAGGGCTCTGCATTGTTGGTGGTGGCCGAGATAGATAGTAGAGTCCCCCTTAAAAGAAACAATCATATTCCATAAACATCCCAGAATACCTATAGTAAACAGAAGTTTTAAATTAACTCCTGCATGTGACAATGCACAGTGCTTTATGGTTGCCGAAGTATACTGTATCTGATTGAATTCTCTCAGTATCCTGATTTGGTAAGCTGGTTTACATGTAAGAAAACAAAAGCAGAGAGATTAAGTAGCTAACCCAAGTTTACATGGCTATTAATGGCAAAACTGAGACTGACTCTTTGTCCCGTGTTCTTTTCGCCACACTACACCAGCTCCCTACAAACATCACCCCTAATTAATTCACTGCTGAGAATGATGGCCTTATTAGTGCCATGGAGCATCAAACTACATCAAACTGTGCAGACAATAGCTTGAAGGATCTAGTGAGCAGGTGCAGTCCTCTCCTATCCAGACCTCCTTTTAAGTGGCTGCTTTCCATACTGAGTTTTGATTAAAGATCTAGGTCATCTAAACTACAGCTCCATGGACTCTTAAGCGGGTAACTTCTTCCTCTATTTGGGTACTAGTCCAGAACTCAAATGATTAGAAGCAGATCTCTAACTGCTTTAAACCTTTCTTCCCAGGTGTGTGAAACAAACACTCGTAACACCAGATTCCATCATCCACATTGGCAGTAACTATGGCAACTTCCCTATTCTTTGGAGGATTCCACTCCACTGATAAATAAGCCACACCGAGGCTTACTGATATTTATTGTCACCTCTTCCACAGGCCTCTCTACCCCAGACCCAATAAACGGGACTTTTCACCAGCACTAAATTCACTTGTAGAAACAAAGTCAGCTCCTGATTTCATAGGACTGTGAAGTGTGAATGTCCTCTGTCCTTCACCTCCATAACACAACCCAATCCACTGCTCAGTATTAAATCTGGTAAACTTTCCCTAATTGCCTTATTTTTAGTGAAGTACAAAACCATGTCTAGAGATTAGGTTTAGTTGTAGAGCAAGAGAAAGAGAACTGATCTCTCTTCCTAGCCCAGACTCAGATTCTCTAATTCTCAGGGGTGTAGTGTACTAACCCAGGTAAGTCACAGGATCATCAGACAATCCACATTTGAGCACTTGGCCATTACTGTCTTGGGGGAATTGGATCAGTACTTTGGCTCAAGTTTCCCAGAGTGTTTGGTTTAAAGTTGACTCATTCCCTGTCTATCCCTGGTAAAAGAAGAAAGTAAATGGCAGAATTGTCCTAATAGAAGTATAGTGTTTGATTTAGGTATAAAAGGCCACTAGGGCTTGTCTTGCAAAATTCAAGTTCTAATGTCTAATGAGCAGCCTCATTCATTGCTACTGCTGTATCCCCATATCACACAAACCCACACATCTTTATTGAGTCCGCTCAGTAAACTTGAGCTATTGGCTCTCACCCCAGGTCGGTTCTACAACTGGAGAGTCCCTGATTTATACTTATTTCTTGTTTCCCATTCTACTTTTGACATCCCCAAGAGAAAGGGGTAAAGTATTTTCCAGTCCTCTATTCTAACTATACAGAGAGAAGCAATGAGATTATATATACATCTACTTGGGATTCAGAGAATTAGCATGTCCCTAACCAGCTATGACAGTGTGTTCTTAGCCCACCGTGATTGGCTAAAAACTAAAATAGTGATCCTAGCATATATTTTGCCCATTTTC